TCATATCACCCCTTCAATATCACAATTTATTACTTGCTTATTTAAACCTGGTTTTGGTGTGCCCTTTTGAGCGGATTTCATCAGATCTATTCACATTTTCGGCTGGATTTCCCACTCCTTGTAATGAGAATGTTATACACTCTTCCCCAAGCTTTTAATAGTATGTATATTCCCCAAAAGTTTGGATTATCGATCTGGATGAGAGACTAACTTAACGCTATAGACCCCCATATCATCTTTCGACATGCGCATCATAGACATGACAATGCCTAGGATCAAACACCTCTACTGTTAGTAAGCTGACTCTTGTCTCCGACGCATTTCTCGCTTTTCTTTCCATACTCCTAAGTCTATGGCTTCCTATGTCCTAGTCTCTTGTGCTCCGAAGCCTAAATGTTGTCACCCTACCTGCTTTGATTAGGCTCATTAAAGGCGTTTTCTCTTGATTTCTACTTATTTCTGTATGGTATTTTCCTTGCGATTTCTCTCCCTCAAGTTCAAAATATTTCCTTATTTTGTGCTGATCTTTGAGTTTGCTTTGGCAATATGCAGTTTTCGCAGTTATTCTAATCTCATACTCTGCTTTCTTTCAGTCAGGATATAGATGGCCTCTTGAATCTTGTGTTTTCTTGTATTTTTATCTTATACAGCCAGCCTTATGTCGATTGCATCTAGGTCTTCTTGCCACTATGACCAGGTTGCAAAAACAAGTTCAACCAACCTCTATACAACGTAAGGAGACCGCGATCATACTTGAGGCCATACCATCTTCGATTAAACACATTTTATTTTGTTTAGCGTTGATTCTCATTTACACTGGACAGCAATTTTTACCTTATTTATATCTATATGCAGTTTTCAGGCGGTTATTAAACTGAGCCGTGGGGTAACCATTTAGATATCAAGTCTGAGTGAAAAACAATGGTTTAGCGATGCTTTATTCGTTTCATTGTGAAGAGCTTAATTTCTTCCTTTGAAGAATTTGACGGAATCAGATTATTTATAACCCTACGTTGTGTTTATCTCTTTCAACATTTATTATTTTAGGCTTTCCCTAGACTCCATTCATTCCACTTATTTGGCTGCATGTGAATATTAATTTTTTAATGACACTCGGAGTTTAAGCAAATCTGACTTAACGGGGTGCGCTTTTCACTTGATTACTATCTTTATGGGTATAAAATTACGTCCACTTTATCATCAAGCCCATATCTTCCACCTTATCAGCATCAAACTTTTCATGGCAGCGTTTTATTCATTGTTCATCTGTCAGTTATATCTTGTCTAGATTTTCATGCTTTCATTTTGACATTGAAATAAAATATGTAATATTATTCGATTAAACCCAAATCTTATTTAAGATATATTGACAGTCTCTTAATATTTCATAAAATCAACTTAAATTATATCAAATATCTCATTCTGAATTGAAGTTTTGTATATTCCTATATATTCCACATTCTGTTTTTATGCATGTACATACTCGTAATTTGATGCAGGCACTCAGGTCTTTTGATCCTCTTCGAAATGTGATAACTTCCATCAATAAACATTCGAACTCTCCAATTGCCCAGAATCACGCTGCTCCTTCTCTTCAAACCTATCGCAACGCCTCCATTTCGTCTTCTGCTAACGTCTTTGATTCCGACGAGGCTGCAGAGCTGCCTTCCAACACTATTTCGGTCTCCTGCGGTGATGACCTTCTCCTAGACGATGCCTCAAATATTTGTAACCATTCTTCCAGACATGGTATTAACGACACCACTCCCTCGCACACGAAGCCATCTAATCAGATCTCTTCAACTGTTGACGTCAGCACCGACAGTATAATTGATAAAAGATACACTTTAGGGCTTCCGAGTGGTCTACAATCGTCTTCTCTACCCGGGCAAGGCGTGATATCCGCACCTCACACCTTGAATTCTTACCCAGCATTGGCGACAGCCTTCATGGCGCCAAATCTGCCACAACTTCGTCCTCAGTGGGAATTTATACGCAGCCTCCTGGGCTTGGCGCGAAAGTTGACTCGATTTTCTTCCAAGGAGCAGCGAAGTAGGGCAAATACCATCCTTCCCTATTTCGGAGGCGCATCGTTTTTAATAAGCCTTTCGCTTTTGCTCGTTTTCCTGCTTGTTCCCTCAGTTTTGTTTCGATTATTGCTTTGTCTAAATTCTTCAGTGATCTTATTTTCAGAATAGGAATTATATGAATATACACTCTATATTAGGGTTTT